AATAAGTCATCTCTTCTTCATTATTCAAAAAAAAAAAATGGCCACAGAATAAGTCATCTTTCTTCATTATTCAAAAAAAAAGATGGTCACAGAATAAGTCATCTTTCTTCATAATTCCAGTCGAACCAAGTAATAAAAAAAAAAAAAAAAATAATTAAAAAACATTGAAGAACTTAATAGTTACTTACGCCCACTTCTAAAGAAAGATTGCATTTTTCACGGGAATGTTTTTGAATGCAATACCGCCATCGATCATTTAGATACGACATAATTCTACTTTCAGAAAAAAAAAGTCAGTGCCTTTCATTCAAGGTTACCTTTTTCTCGTTTTTGCTCATTTAATATTGATTTATACTGTAGAATCTCTCGGTAGCACGCAATTTTTCACTTCTTCAAGTTTTAGAATGACATAAGATGTAGGACGATTTGTAGGCACTCGTTAGCGTCTACGTTTTCGCAATACCGCACTATATATTTTGGAAAGCGGCGGAAAGCTTCATAGAGATTTTGGATCCTTCGTTAAGTCGTTTCAGTTTGAATTCGTGAAAATGGCGCGAAAAAGTGTGCACGAGCTGTACAGAAATAATGGCGCGAAAAGGTGAGTATGAGATTAGAAAAATAATGGCGGGAAACACGGTGTGTCGCGTTGAGAAATAATGGCGCGAAAAGGTGGGTATGAGCGTTGAGAAATAATGGCGCGAAAAGGTGAGTATGAGATTAGAAAAATAATGGCGGGAAACACGGTGTGTCGCGTTGAGAAATAATGGCGCGAAAAGGTGTGTATGAGCGTTGAGAAATAATGACGCGTTCGATGCAAATCTGTGGTTGCGTCATAGTCGCAAGCCTCTCAAGCGTCCGAGCGGTTTCCTCCAAGAATATTTAAAATTTATTAGAAATACTGGGGGGTAAAACCATTTTCTAGGGGGGGGGGATGCCCCTCTGTATCCCACTGGCGCCGCCAATAATGATAAACCAAGTACCATCGATCCGAACCGCAAAACCAAGTCCAAAATGCTTGGTATGCTACATTTACAAAAGTAATTAGTGTATACACAAAGAGACGTGAATAATGTCCAAAGTTGGCAATATATATATATTCATGGACTCATTGGTTACGGATATGACTTTACCAGAGTCCGGGGTCGAATTTCAAAGGGATAATGATTAACAAATAATCTGCACATGTTCAACGGGTGAACGTGACTGTCATCAAATGAATTTCCGCTCTATTTTATGAACTTGTTCTATTTGGAAAATTAGATTTTTGTGAGTATTTAAACCAACGTAGACCCGTATTCATAGTGATTTGATGTATTTATTTGATGCAC